AGAGATCATCACATTCAGGCAAGACGTCGTTGGTGTAGGGATCGTCAACACTGGGATAATCGACGCTGGAGCAATGTGATGTTTTCAGATGAGTCAAGGTTCACTGTTGATTGTTTGGACAGACGTAGGAGGGTGTGGCGTCGTCGAAACGAGCGCTTCCAAGACGTTAACGTCATCAGACATGATCGATTTGGGGGGTGGTTCTGTTATGGTGTGGGGAGGCATCACTGTTGCTGGAAGAACGGCTTTACATGTTGTTGCAGGGCGTGTTACAGGCCAGTACTACCGGGACAACATCTTGGCAGTCCATGTTGTGCCGTTCGCACGACGTCATGGCCGCCGTTTCATCTTCCAGGATGACAACGCAAGATGTCACAGGGCCAGGATCGTTACAGGTTACCTCCAACAACAGAACATCACCACATTACCTTGGCCAGCACTGAGTCCCGACCTCTCCCCCATCGAGCATGTCTGGGACATGCTTGGACAGAGGTTACGTCAACGTCAACAACGTCCTGCCAATGTCCAAGAACTTGCTGCTGCGTTGCAACAGGAATGGGACAATCTGGACCAAAATGACCTTAGACGTCTCATTAGGAGTATGCCACGTCGGATCAATGCTTGTTTGGCAAACAGAGGAGGATTTACCCGTTACTGACTTGGTTGTAATGCTGTGGTAACTTTGCTGTTTGACCCCGGGTATCATTTTACCCTTATAATGGTCAGTCTGTGCCTTACTTAGTCTAACGATCATTTGGAATAAATCGATGAATGTGAACTTCATTTCATTTTGTCATTTGTTTCTTCGTCAGTTTCATTAGGTGACTTTAATAACACTTAAAAATCAAATATCCCCTACTTTTTTGGAATAGTATATACTAAATGGATAAAAGCAATTTTTTGTGAACAGTTTGTTGGCATTAGTGAATTATTCATCGCAATTCCAAGACATTGGTCTCGGCACGACGTCATTAAGCCTTCTCTGAATTTCATCCCAAAGATGTTCAATCGGGTTTAAGTCCGGGCTAAGGACTAGCCAGTGCATAACGTTAACACCGTTCTGCTGTAGAAAGTCCCGAGTAACACTGGCGGTGTGGGCACTGGAAAACGTTGTTTCGATGACGTGCGAAATGTGCTATGACGTAGGGTCTGAGAGCTTGATCGATGTAGCGCACTGCTGTGATGCCGCCTTTCTCTACCTGGACCAAGATTTTGCAACACCACAGGACCCACTCTCTGATTCAGGCCGATTCCACCCCCAAACCATTATGCTTGGACCAATTGGTCTCGTTCCATGACACATTGGCCAGAATAACGCTGGCCACGTCGACGCCATATTCTTGTCCTGACTCTCATCTGTGAACAGTTCTCCATTGCCTGTGTCGCCAGTTCTAGTGTTGTTGGGCAAACTGTAGACGTTCACGTCGAAGGCGAGGGGTAAGGATCGGTCCACGGTAAGGTCTACGACAATGGATGTTCTTTCTGGTGAGACGTAGGCGCACTGTATCGGTTCCAACTTTCTGACGTGTAGTTACAGATGCCTGTGTAAGGGGTTTTTGCACGTGGTGATGATTTAACCAGGTATGGGCGCATTTTGTGATGGGGTGGAAGTAATTTTGTTATTATTGAACACAATTTTATTAGTATTGGAATTAACTTTGTTTATTAATATTCCCAGTGTCTCGGAGCTTGTATTGTTGTTTTGTTTTTTATCAATTTATAAAGCTATTTTTTATTTTATTATTAATTATTTTTTCATTGCATAAAACCATTTTATTAGTATTGGAATTAACATTGTTTATTAACCTTCGAGATGTTTGTTTAGTAATGATTTGGTATTAATTTAATTTGTCATATCATTTATTGATTAAATTATAATTTAACAAACAAAATTATTGTTTTGTCATTTATCAAACATTACAGTTTAAACAGAACAAATGGAGGGGGTTGTATGGGAAAGGTTGCTTTGCTGGATATAAATTGGAAAAATACAACACAAGTGTTTGTGGGTGATTATACACAAGTCTGTATGCAACAACACAAATTTCCGAAATTTCAACACAAGTTTCCGAAATTTCAAAACAAGATTCAGAAATTTTAGCACAAGTTATGTGTATATTTCAACACGAGTTTCAACACAAGTTTGTGTTGTTTGATAAATTGTAACACAAGTTTTGTGTTGTTTCAACATTTAACACATGTTGTTTCAGCACAAGTCTGTGTTGTTAAATAGAAACACAAGGTACGTTCAGTGTAAATCATCCCAGCAGGAAAATCTGCCCGTTAATAACAAGGCTGAGGATGAAAGAAACGCTAAGGTATTCTAGTAGACTGTGATCGCCTCACAGCTGAAAGGAAACCCCTCACGGATAAACTGATCTACCATAACACAGCTTTCAGTTAATCTACGAATTCGTGTGTGAGATTAGTATCCTAGATATTATGATGTAACCCCTTGGGACGAAAAGAGTGTTCCACTCAACGTTCGAAATCCATTAGTGATCATCCTGGGGGTTACTGATAGACGGATAATGCCAACTGCACGACAATGACTAGCCGGAGAAGATTGCTTGCCTGCCTGAAAATAGGTCGAACAGGCGGCGGGCCCTAGGGCCCTGTTGACAGTCAAACCTATATTTACCTATCATACCTAAGAGATCGTAGCATTTATGGCAAAGCGGGACAGACGTTCGCCATTCTTTACTTTCTTACACCCGGGGCCTCTTCTTTGGATGAATTATACCTTGGGCGCCTAAATAAATCAGTTATTGTTCTTCCATATTAATGTGTTTTAGTTTATAACAATACATCATTACGTCTTTGTTAATTTCTTGTTAGCGATACACAGCAGTTTCTCTATAGTTTGGTTTTGTCGGTGTGGAGATTGCTCTAGAATTAGCACAAAAAAGGCATCCTTGACACCCTTGCAAAATGTGCACGGTGTTTTTTTTTTTGGTTGTTTTTCTTTTTTTTTGGGGGGGGGGGGGGGGTGAACGGTTCTATTATGGCTTGTCTTGTTCTGTATGGAACTGGGACCCACGTTGGTGTTTGATTTTCAGTGCAATGTTACACCTTTCAAGGTATACTTAAAGCGGGGTTTTCGCAGATTTGGACTGAAATGGATATTATTTACAGCTTAACGGATTGAGTGTTATTCAATCTTCTTAAACAGTATTTATTTCGAGAATATTACACAACCTAAAGACATAAAGAATAGGATACAAAACAAGCCAGGTAGGTTTATATTAATTTGCTTCCTTCTGGTTTGGGTGTATAATATATGTAGGCTTATATTAATTTGGTTCCATCTGGTTTGGGTGTATAATATATGTAGGCTTATATTAATTTGCTTCTTTCTGTCTCGGGTGTATAATATAAGTAGGCTTATATTAATTTTACGGAGTGGAACGTTTTGTATATGTAAATAGTTTTAAAACTATCGAACTTAATACTATAAATCACTGTCTTTTCATTCAGCATTCCAAATTATGGCATATACCCTCAGTGGGTGGGATATAGATAATATAAAATGACGTAACTAAATTAAACTATTTAGCTACCTTGCAATCCATGAGGGCACATCAGAATATTGTACTCACTAACCATATCTATTTCCCTGTAAAGTTTTATTGATTTCCTCGATCAAACTAACAACCATATCTATTTTCTTTAAAGTTTTCTTGATCTACGAGGTTTTAAAATTTCACATTGTTTGTACAATCTAAAGGGGGTTCCATTGATCTAATATTGTGGCATTGGGGTTTGAGGGAGTTCCCCATCATGCGTAAAAATAGTGAAAATCGGTCCCCGTCAGGTGCCGGTGCCTGCACTGTGCTCTCGCAAACGCATTCTTAACTATTATTTTAATGAAAAAATAATTCCACAAGTCACGTATACAATATACCTTATTTATAGCTGAAAAGTGTTATAAAATAATCATCTACTACATTATCACATTTCAAACCAAACACCTGATCTTCACCAAGAATCGAAATCTACACAACAAACTTGGTCTAATATATTCTTTTCTCGGGTGCCTATTCCCCGCTCCCCTTGAGCCATCGGACAACATGTTACAAATTGCACTTTTTACTTCACTTGCTGTGGATTTATTCACTTGCTGTGGACTTGCACCTTCAAGGTGTCCGAACCCTACCCCAAGCAGTGAAATAAAACTGTCAACTCCATTCCATGTGCCACTGCCGTGGGGAGTGTACATAACGACTATGATAGACTGTATATATAATCGTTTTTCCAATGGTAAATGGTGTACCTAAAAATTATAAATAACCTCCCTTGAAGGTCTTATCGTGACACACATACTTTTCTGATCCCTACAAATTCATACATGAGCTATGTTCAATCTGATTAAAATACAGATCTATATTTCGTTTCGTTATTTTTTATACTTTCAATGGCCTACACTACATGTGGATTACCCACAGTTCCGTGAAAAACACGCCTAAAAGCTCGCCGTAACAGACCGTTTCATTGGCTTATCCCTGACACCATTCAGAACACGAGTTAAATAACAACTCTTCCAGATCCAAGTGTAGTAAAGACAAGTAAAACGAAATTTTGAACTATAAAAACGAAACGAAATAGGATCTGTGTTTTAACCAGATTGTCCTTTCATACCAACCATTTATCGAGCAAACGAAAAAAAACCCATCTGATTTTAAGCCAAAATGACACGTTTGACACCAGACACGTTCAGAATACGAAATGATATAGTAATGTGATACAAGTTGGTTGATTTGTGTAACTCATTTCATCACCATCTTTATGTGACTCGAAAGGTAACTTTGGGCAAATCGTGTCACTTTAAATGTTTTCCAGTTACAAACTTACAAATGAAATGAAGTGGGGGCTTCAGAATCTTAACTTTACTGTTCTGCATAAATCGGGATGAAGAGGTATATAACGGAATGTGTGACATTAAAGAAGATATTGATGACAGCCACATAAGGTGAACAAAATAAACAACAAACAAAGAAATATCAAACATAAAGTCTGTTTATTTTGTGATGTAGGTTATATTTTGATATCTTGTACTTGTTAGTATCTCGTTGTTTTCAGGAAGTACATATTTTAATATAATAATAGTTGGTCTCTGAACAACATAAACTAGATTGATTACAAAGCACAATATGATTCTCCACATTTAACAACTGAAAAATACAAAACATGGTTTATATATTACAAATAAACAAGCCGCAACAATCCTTCCAGGTCATAAAATTGACTTACTGTGTATATAAGAAAACAAGATTCGTTGGAAAAGCAATATGTTTTACATCATAATGTTAATCAAGTAAATTTTAATGGATTGAAACAGGTGTTTGACGATGCCATGGTGGTTCAATTTTAGTGGCCGGATAATCCCTGTATTGACTAAAGACTTTAATCATGAGTTTACTAAAAAATAACATTACATTTTATCACGTCATTTTGACGATGCCATGGTGGTTAATAATCTATGCGTTTACCATGGAGCTTATTTATGGTCATTTATTGTTTATTTAATAACTGACAGCCATTGTCCGGCGGATATCGATGGAGAGTTCAAACTATTTGTTTATTGGCTGTAGATTTACGTTAAGTGAATAAAGTAGTTTAAATGAAATGAAATGAAATGAAATGGGGTTTAACGTCCTACTGTTCTGCTCCTATACTGGGCTAATGAAGACGGGCATACGCCATACAGTGTGCTATGAGGGAAAATTTGCCCGGGCAGCGGCACTATCGTCTACTCTTATATCGAATTCCAACTGCCAGGGGATCTTTCACGTGCATTCCAATATATACACGGGACCTCGGTTTTTCGTCCCATCCGAACGACTAGACAGCTGTCCTTGTTAGGCCCTCTGTTCTGCATCACTGACAAGGGGGAACCACGCCGGAAAAAGTAGTTTAAAAGTAGGTCTGATTTGATTTTACTATATATGAAAAACAGATAGTGTAAAACTTTAGTACATCATGGTAGATGATTAATAAATGAAATGAAATGGGGTTTAACGTCCTACTGTTTTGCTCCGAAGTAGGCTAATGAAGACGGGCATGCGCCATACAGTGTGCTATGAGGGAAATTTTGCCCGGACAGCGGCACTACGGCCTACTCTTATATCGAATTCCAACTGTCAAGGGATCTTCTACGCTCGAGGGGCTCGAGTCTTCTCTGACTTATTTAAATAAAGACGATAAACATGCTTATATATACAAATCAGGTTATATTGATGGGTGATATATACATATCAGGTTATACTGGTGGGTGATATATACATATATAATATTGATGGGTAATATATAAATAGAATAGTGAATATTTACATGCACAGTATCCACCAATACATGGGTTCCCACGACAATCCTTGTCTTCCACACACGTGACTATAAATATAACGAATGTATCATTATACATAACAATATCAAACTATCTATCAGTACATATGTGCAGTCAAGATGGTGGGGGGCATAACAGCCCCTCAACACGAATGATAAGGTCTTTTCGGGACTAACACTACAAGCTCTATTTCGGCCAGGGGGTGGTCGTTACAGATGATTAAAGCATTTACTACTATATGGATAGCAGGTCATATAATAATAAGATTGAGAGTTACACCACTTGGAAACCCAACCCCTTTTATAAGATCAAATATTGGCCGACAGTCTGATTAGAAAACCGTGTTATTATATAATGTTTATAATTGACCTTACAGTGTTTGATATAGTATTTAAAACAGGCTCTGAACAGACTGTCTTTACATGATGATCATATCCCCAACAGTTGTATTCATCACACAATAATAGAAATGAGCTAGATTTACAGATATCTAGAAATACTATATTTGAAATATATAAATACATCTGGTTTGCATAAATGAACCACTGTCTATAACATATATAAATATATCGGGTTTGTATAAATGACCCACTGTCTATAACATATATAAATATATCGGGTTTGTATAAATGAGTCACTGTCTATAATATAAATCATATTTACCGAGACAAGCACCACCCGAACAAATGCCAAAAACACTATTGTAGAAGCAATCACCATTCTTACATGCATTTCTAGCTATAATGAAGATCATTTACACTATACAACTGTGCTTTCAAATGATAAACATGATCTGGTAGACAAATTTGTCTACGATATCACCCTTGGTGGAAGTGGACCTCAAACGCCAGGACAGACCGGCCTGGTAGACAAAGTACAACATTTGACAAATCATACAACATAGGATAGTGTTACTAAATGTTGAAGGATGAAGTAGAACAGTATTACCAATAGAAATAGAAGTGTCAATAACATAATATCTATATCATACTTACGTCGACACGTGTCATTTACACATTTATCAATACCGCTACAGAATTCACCATCCCCACCACATGATTCACCTGAAACAATTGAACTATTGGAGTACTGGACACTATTACAATACTTGTGGTTTATTTACAGTTTCTCTCACCTAGGCTTAAACATGGTTATATATATATAGTTTTCATTGTGCTGTTACATTGATAGTGTATATCGTCATTCATTTGATCATATCATTCCTAACATGCCAATATGTACTGGTTCAATGACTGTAGATCAACTAAATATTATCAAATTATATAATGTTATAAGCTAGTAAGACAAACAACATACCTTTAAAACCACAAGCGTTATATATGCCATCTATAGTCCCACAATTGCCACCTGAAATATAAAACGTGTATATAACACCAAATTAACGGTAAACCTTTTGTAGGATTGTGTTAACGATGGTCATGCCCTGTTTTCAGACTGTATCGTGAATTCGTTATGCAATTTATTAAAGATACATCATGGGAGATTAGATGAAGAGCTGACAGTTCTCACTATAAGAGTTAAAAACTAGATGATGTAAAGGGGATTTGCTGAACATTTCAGTCAAATTGATCCACTCTGAACTGAGAGTTTAGCGATTGAATTTTAGGACTAGCCTCCATCATCATTACGAAAGTCGGTACGATATAAACATGGTCCCGCTTATTCATTTTTTGATTTAATCATCGATGAGTGTTGACCAGCAGATCGGATTGTAATACAGTAAATAGCGCAGGTTAGCGATGATATCGAGAGTTGATTATGGTCTGGATAAGTTAATTAATATCCAATTAATAGTTTATATAACCTTTCAGGCCTAAATAAAAACCTGCAAAAGGCCGATTTAGCACTTGCATAATGTATGTTTAAATCCCGGTTAAAATATCAACAGTTTGTAAACATGGTAAAATCAGGAAGTCGTACAGCTTCATAGTTTTTACCAAGATTTCAATATTTTTTTATTAAGTCTTGACAATGTTGGATAGTTTTGATGATACTTTTCATTAATTTTATTGTATTTGATAATCTTTTGAACTGGAGTTCCAATTCATCTGTTTATAAGGTTATGGGTAACGCTCTAATACCATTTAGCAATTCAATCCAGAGCTACGATAATAAAATTGTATACATTAATCAACAGAAAGGTAACATGTTATACTTACCGCGGTTTACACAGTTATCATCAATGCACACTTCGTTGAAACCACTACAGATTTTACCACTACAATTGTTAGCTGAAAAATACAACCAAATTACAGGATAGATGATTGACAAATTAAATATTGTAGTTGAGGAAAAATTATGTTCTAGCCATATACTTATTTACCTATTCAGCAATATTACCAAGTGGCTACCATGAACGATACGCCCACATTTTGGAAGATATGGCCAGAGAACAAGCTACAAAAGCGATTTTTCGAACAATCAGGAGCCATATGCGTGAATATCGAAAGGATCCTTGGGGTATAAACATGCTTTACAAGTTTTATCAAAATCAGATAAAAATTGTAACCACAAGCTAAAAACGTGATGTTTTCTGCAACCAGGGGCTATAATCCACGAACATGCGATCCGATACATGCCAACATCGAAAGAAACCGATATCTTTGGGATATCAACCTATATTTTAAGTTTCGTCAAAATCAGATTAATATGGTGACCTGTAGAGTGTCCACAAACAAATGTGAGCAGACGGAAACTCGGATGGACGGACCTACGGACAGGGGCGACGATAACATACGTCCACATGAAAATACGGCTGTATACAAATGATTAAGGAATATGTCTTAGTTAATCCAAAAATTATATGATGGAATTTATATTTTATCAGTAAATACCATATTATAAATTCCATATAATTGTATCATGTGGTATACAACATTATAGTTTTTTCAGTGTTATTTGGATATTATATAACTGGATTGGTTTAGAAGACTAGGTATCTTACCATCGCTTTTACATCTTTGTATGATACACGTACCCCTACACTCTGTCACGTTACATTCTCTCACTGTAAAATATTATTATAATGTTGTTATTAGATATGAGATAAATCATTGTGCCCTGGATGTTAATCGCAGCATCTGATCATACGACTCACCACCTGGAACAGTGACCATTCAATAGAGAGACACAACACACAACACATTGTCCACATAAACATTTCGCATTCAGTCTAATGTGGTTCTTCTTGTTCCATATATATATATTTTTTGATAAGTTACCGCCTGTGATAAGTTTAAATCTATAGTTAGGTCCAGAAACATCTGTCATTGCATCAATTGGAATTTGTAATATATACGTCTACAGGGTGTCTTTCATTAATCAAATTATAGTTAACACTCTCTTTAACCGGTGTTGTGTATTCAGAATCTGAAATAGGAACAACGTGGCATCCATTCATTGTATTTTAGTTAAAATGCCAATATGATGTTTCCTCGCCATCTTTAATTGTGGTTGTGTTGCAATTTTCTAAATCAGTAAAACGTGGCGAACAGGCCCACACAACAGCCATGTCTCGAAAAATCACAGAAATCAACTGACTGAATCCGTCTGATTCGAAAGGAAAACTTGAAGATATTGACAAAAGGGGCGCTGTAGACAACGACCAGATAGATGACTCCAATCAGACTGTGTATCAAGTCCACCCAATAATAAATGAAGTCTCTTGAGCGTCCACAAGATGTAACAAATCGATTAAAGGAGATAACTCTGAGTAATAAATTTAATGCGATTAAAATCAATATTATTGTTCGTCTTATGAACATAAACACTGTGTATAAATATCACGCTAATCGAATTAAGTCTCAAAAACCCCAAGGTTATTGTGTCCTAAATGTGTGACGGACAGTCGGGCGATCGAATTGTACTAGTCCCCAGGCAGGCGACAGTACAGCAAACAGACAATTCATCCTAGCTTTTCTCTGTGAAACATTGTATGCATGTTACTAAGAGAGCAAGGTAGTACAAACTTACTTTGGCAATATTCTCCTATAAATCCAGGAGGACAGAATTCACAACAAATTCTGACGGATAACACGTGCCATTATTTATACAGGGGTTTTATATAGTACAGGGATTTACTAGAATTAAAGTTAAGAAATGTAGACCTCTGATATGTTAATAATCATTATGTGAGACAGTGAGTGATCATAATTCCAATTGTTAAGTATGGCATAATGTAATATGGATATTTCTTAACGAGTTAGAAATTACCAGGGATTTAAGTACAATAATGAACGAAACAAGTACTGGTGATGATATGAGACCCATTGAGATTTATAAATATACGCATGATAGATTAAATTTCCTGAATCTTGATCGTCTTGCGTTAAAAAAATGGGGCAGCCCACGCTGGGTCCGGTAAAGTAATAGTGAATATGAACCGGACCACCTCGTCTTGTGTAAAAATATACTAGTAACTATAAAGGAGGTCGATTATATGTGCATTTTATCGATTTCATGTGCGCCTCTGTCGGAATTAATCGATACATTGTTAGAACATTATTACATGGCCACGTGAAAACAATGTTACAAAGTATTTACGTTAATGTAAAGATTTAATTCAGATGGTATGGGTGAATTCTTATGTTAATCTGGTGTCGAACAAGGCTGCATCTTAATTTAAAGATTGAATTCAGATGTAATGGGTGAATTCTTATGTTAATCTGGTGTTAAATAAGCCTACATCCCGTAGGCTTGATTTGTTCATAATGAACGTATTGGCTGAAATTATTATGACAATAAAGAATGTACGCAACTTACCGTCACAGTTTTCTCCTAAATATCCTGTAACACAATTACAGCTGTAACCCTTATCAACTGGTGAACAAGTACCATTATTTTTACATGGGTTAGGTAGACACACATTCACTACAATTCAAATTTAATATGCTCACTATTTCCCTATATTTAATTAACCGAAATTGTTTCCTGTATATCTGTAAATACAATCAGTTCAACCCAATTTTACTCTCTCTCTCTCTCCCTCTCTCTCTCTCTCTCTCTCTCAGGAAATTATTGATACGACATACAATGTATCTTACCATCACAGTGTTCTCCTAGATACCCAGGAGTACAACTACAGCTGTAACCGTTATCAACTATTGAGCAGGCACCATTATGTTTACATGGATTTGGAGTACAGGCTGACCCTAGAAATAATAATATTAACTAAAGTAACAACTTTGATAGTTTTTCTATTCCATTATTACACAGTTACACATTGATTACATGGTAAATATTTATAAAAGATTGTTATAAACTTTTCAACTTGCATCGTAGTAAAATATTTTTTTACATGATGAAAACCGTTTTGGAATCGGTTAATAAATAAAAACGTGTTCTTTAATCTTTGAAACCACTGAAAAATATAATTGCCAGGGTACATCAAAGGAAAGTAAAAAACTGATAATAAAAAAAGCAATAGGGAAACCATACATAAACTAAATAAGGATTTAATAGTTGGACCATAATTAAGTGAAATATAAAATATAATATTAAAATGCTCCTAAATAAAATAGTCCTACAGTCTTCCACCCGATTGCGACACACATTTTACACAGGTTAAATAAAAGAAACAGCTAACTGGTTTACTAAATGAAAATTTAACAATTAGACCATAATTAAGTGGAATATAAGGATAGATTATGGATGTCGGAAATCATACACCACAGTCTTAACCACAAACTCCTAAATGATTATAGTCCTACACACTTCCTCCCAATAGACAGACACGTTGCCCAAGTTTAGTGTGGGGGAACCGTATTAGTAACAGAAAACTAGTTTTATACACATGCCATATCTATTGAAATTAGTTTTGCAAGTAGATTACAAGAGAAGAGAGACAAATAGAGTTTAACGTTCACTCGACACAAACCACGTCATTTCGGGACTAACATATGTTTCAATTTTATTTCAATAATTCGCTTGCGCGTAGGTGTCTTTAGCAGTAGTAGGGAACCGGAGGACCCGGAGAATAAACCACGAGGTTTGACAGACGACCATACTGCTTATCACGTACAACAGGGGAATTGGAACCTCATTAGTTGACTCAATGACAGGCCTTATGATACAACACGCACGCGCAAACCATTCGTCCATCCACCCCCCCCCCCCCCCGCTCACGTCCAGTTCAACAAAGTCAGTATTCAGAAATTGATATCGCTTAAAGTCGGATTTGTAAATAATATCGCTATGAAATGATCAATTTAGTGACATAGGGGGTTGTTTAAGAATTAAAAAAGTCTAGTCTCCAATTAAACGGATGGAGCATGTTACATGTAGTGAGGATTGTGAAATAATTGGAGAAGAAAGGTTGTCACCGAGCCGAAACTTTGTATATATTGTGGGATGCTAGACAGTGTAGTCGAAAATAACAAATATTTACAAATATAATATAAATACTTAAAAATAAAAAAAGCTCACTTTTGCAGCAGGATTCACACAGATAAGCCTCTTTTACCTCTGAACAACTGATGCATCTTGGATTTCGCATCCCTCCATATCGTGCCCAAGGCCACCCGCTCCTTTGTCCAGAGATAGTCACGACAGTGGTCAAGATCAACGCAATCAACCAAGTAACACGCATTACTTTGGCATAAGTATGGCATAATGTAATATGGATATTTCTTAACGAGTTAGAAATTACCAGGGAATTAAGTACAATAATGAATGAAACAAGTACTGGTGATGATATGAGACCCATTGAGATTTATAAATACACGCATGATAGATTAAATTTCCTGAATCATGATCGTCTTGCGTTAAAAAATGGGGCAGCCCACGCTGGGTCCGGTAAAGTAATAGTGAATATGAACCGGGCCACCTCGTCTTGTGTAAAAATATACTAGTAACTATAAAGGAGGTCGATTATATTTGAATTTTATCGATTTCATGTGCGCCTCTGTCGGAATTAATCGATACATTGTTAGAGCATTATTACATGGCCACGTGAAAACAATGTTACAAAGTATTTACGTTAATGTAAAGATTTAATTCAGATGTTATGGGTGAATTCTTATGTTAATCTGGTGTCGAACAAGGCTGCATCTTAATTTAAAGATTGAATTCAGATGTAATGGGTGAATTCTTATGTTAATCTGGTGTTAAATAAGCCTACATCCCGTAGGCTTGATTTGTTCATAATGAACGTATTGGCTGAAATTATTATGACAATAAAGAATGTACGCAACTTACCGTCACAGTTTTCTCCTAAATATCCTGTAACACAATTACAGCTGTAACCCTTATCAACTGGTGAACAAGTACCATTATTTTTACATGGGTTAGGTAGACACACATTCACTACAATTCAAATTTAATATGCTCACTATTTCCCTATATTTAATTAACCGAAATTGTTTCCTGTATATCTGTAAATACAATCAGTTCAACCCAATTTTACTCTCTCTCTCTCCCCCTCTCTCTCTCTCTCTCTCTCTCTCAGGAAATTATTGATACGACATACAATGTATCTTACCATCACAGTGTTCTCCTAGATACCCAGGAGTACAACTACAGCTGTAACCGTTATCAACTATTGAGCAGGCACCATTATGTTTACATGGATTTGGAGTACAGGCTGACCCTAGAATTAATAATATTAACTAAAGTAACAACTTTGATAGTTTTTCTATTCCATTATTACACAGTTACACATTGATTACATGGTAAATATTTATAAAAGATTGTTATAAACTTTTCAACTTGCATCGTAGTAAAATATTTTTTTTACCATGATGAAAACCATTTTGGAATCGGTTAATAAATAAAAACGTGTTCTTTGATCTTTGCAACCACTGAAAAATATAATTGCCTGAGTGCGGGAATGGTCAATCAAACATCTTTCGTTTTTTCGTCATGTCACCTCGTCATGTCCCAAGGGCACCAATTAGTCCGAGGGCTCGGAGCTACCCTGTCCGCCCCGACAAATATGAAACAATGGACGCCTCTAAGTTTTCTTTTGGTTTTAATTTGATAAAGCATGGTAGACATTATATTATATACGTCGACAGTCCACCTCACCGGTACTTGAAGGGGTTACAATTTATTACATTATCATCTCTAGCATACTACAATATATACAAAGTATATCACGCGCCATATTGTTCTGACTCTGTAAAGACATTTCTTCCTCGATTCTCTCACAATACATGTAGCATTCTTTTTTAGTTTTATTGGACACTAGACTTTATTTATTGACTGAACCTTCGTAAAGTTTAAACGGATTTCTTTGATTATGGACAAACTACTTAACTTTGGTTAGTATAAACTTACCCGTGTGTTTGAAATCAACTCTCCTTCAGTTCAATAAAATCCATTGCACAATTTAATATCCCAACGAATAACAAAGTTCTATCTGACAAATTTTACTATTTACTTGTATTTTCGACTGAGTAAAAGACAACAATGCTTTCGTCGCATGTTGGGCGAAACCAGGGCAGCTGTTGTGTGGGTGGTTTAATTTTGACAGATAGTTTGACAAGATCAAAGGCATGGCAATAACCAGATCAATCAAAGGCAAGGTGTATATATAGGTTTAGTGAGGCAACTGGTGATTAGCATTAATTAACATTGAAAATATTAATAATTAATCGTAGGGGTAAATAATTGAGACAGACAACAAATAATGACAAGTCAGAAGCCACACATACATGAGGCCAGGGTACATCAAAGGAAAGTAAAAAACTGATAATAAAAAAAGCAATAGGGAAACCATACATAAACTAAATAAGGATTTAATAGTTGGACCATAATTAAGTGAAATATAAAATATAATATTAAAATGCTCCTAAATAAAATGGTCCTACAGTCTTCCACCCGATTGCGACACACATTTTACACAGGTTAAATAAAAGAAACAGCTACTGTGTGAACCATCGTAAATTTTAAACGGATTTCTTCGATTATGAACAAACTACTTAACTTTGGTTATTATAAACTTACCTGTGTGTTTGTAATGAACTCCCGTTCGATAAAATCCATTGCACAACTAATTATCACAACGATGAGAACAAGTTCTCTCTTGAAAAATTTGAAAATTTACTTGTAATTTCGACAGAGTCGATGTCAACAATGTCTTCGTGACGTATTGGTCGAATCCAATATACCTGTTGCGGGGGTTGGTTAACATTGAAAGATAGTTTGACAGCGCGATCATTTTGATCGTATATGGGTTTGGGCGACGAAAAATATCAATTGAAGGCAATTACATAGGAGATTTATATGGAAACCATTGATCGCCAGTCTATCAAATTTTCTTCACAATTGCACGGATACTCGTAAAAATAAAGTCATGTATAAACTATATATATCCTATCTTCTTTATGTTATAAATAATTTAACAAGGATCATGAAGCTTACCTCCGAATTCTCTGAGTGTATTTTTAATTTTATACGCATTCTTTCGATCGAATAATAACCGCTTCAGTAACATATATAATGGTATATAATGCTACTAAGCCCCTATGACCCCGTAAGAAGCGGAACATTAATTCTCGATTCGACAGTTTTGACCGAAGTGTGATAAAGCCCGTAAAACGAATGTGTAGTTGTGTTTGTGCGGCATGCGTGTTCAAAAGTAAATAATCCCATCCGAGTCGCTAATCAAATAATTAGAACAAAATATTTCAAAAAGTAAAGCTATAAAATTTGCAGAGATTTTACTAGAATGTAAAAGACGGTAACTAAATACAGGAATGCGGGTAGTTATGTGTGCAAACGCTCAAACTCAATGCCAATTGTCGTAGGTATCCAGACCACTCGGACCAAAGACTACTCGGACTAAGACCAGTCGGACCAAAACAAGACCAGTCGGACCAATTAAATTATATTATAAGGCTAGACAATATGCTATTTATTTATTATTATATCACAATACAATTAGGCAAATAATTCTTATACGGAATTCTTATATTTAGAGTTGTTTAGTTCAATTTTGTGTACGGAAAATAAATCAACGATTAGTTTTAAAATTAATAAATAATGGTGCCAAAAAAAATATCAATCTAATTTTTCTTATTTACTCTTGCAATGAGACTCGGTATGTCCAGACTTTTGACAGTTTCTACATATACGGGTATACTGTTCTTGTCTGATAGCCTAATTTTACTTTTTCCACATTCGCGGTATCCCCAGTGGTTTCATTCCGTTCTACCCCACTAACCCCTGGGTTACTATATAGGGGGGGGGGGAGACACGTTTTCAAGTTATCCGCCCTTGATGCGTTAATATAAACATCACATAATAATACGAAGACCGGACGTTTATATGCCCCTTTTTAAACGTGACTACAAGTGTGGTTCTCGATATTTTGCGATTTGGAATACAATTATCAATTTATTCAAACAACACGTTGTTATTAGTTCGAGTAGTCATATTAAAACACACACAATTAGAAATTTATTCAAATAACACTTTATTATTGGTTTTGAGTAGTCATATTACAATAAACACAATTATCAATTTATTAAAATAACACTTTATTATTGGTTCGAGTAATCATATTAAAACAAACGCAATTATCAATTTATTAAAACAACACTTTATTATTGGTCCGAGTCGTCTTTCTGTTGGGTCCGAATAGTCTTTTTGTATGTTCCGAGTAGTCTATTTGATTGGGCTGAGTGGTCTATCAGTTGGTCCGACTGGTCTTGACCCGAGTGGTCTTTGGTCCGAGTGGTCATGGATTCTTGTCGTAATTGTACTTGAATTTCCTATGCTGTCACCCCTAATACGAAATGATATCTTCCGCAGAGTGACGTAACCATCTTCCATATTGGTATTTTTCTCTGGGAAAAGTTTGTGATATTTCAATTTTTCAAGAGAGAACTTGTTTTCATCGTTGTGATAATTAATTGTGCAATGGATTTTATCGAACGGGAGTTCATTACAAACACACAGGTAAGTTTATAATAACCAAAGTTAAGTAGTTTGTTCATAATCGAAGAAATCCGTTTAAAATTTACCAAGACTCAGACAGTAACTGGTTTACTAAATGAAAATTTAACAATTAGACCATAATTAAGTGGAATATAAGGATAGATTATGGATGTCGGAAATCATACACCACAGTCTTAACCACAAACTCATAAATGATTATAGTCCTACACACTTCCTCCCAATAGACAGACACGTTGCACACGATTAGTGTGGGGGAACCGTATTAGTTACAGAAAACTAGTTTTATACACATGCCATATCTATTGAAATTAGTTTTGCAAGTAGATTACAAGAGAAGAGAGAAAAATAGAGTTTAACGTTCACTCGACACAAACCACGTCATTTCGGGACTAACATATGTTTCAATTTTATTTCAATAATTCGCTTGCGCGTAGGTGTCTTTAGCAGTAGTAGGGAACCGGAGGACCCGGAGAATAAACCACGAGGTTTGACAGACGACAGATGCACCAGTTGTGTTAGGAAATAAAATCAGTAACTGCTTATCACGTCCAGTTCAACAAAGTCAGTATTCAGAAATTGATATCGCTTAAAGTCGGATTTGTAAATAATATCGCTATGAAATGATCAATTTAGTGACATAGGGGGTTGTTTAAGAATTAAAAAAGTCTAGTCTCCAATTAAACGGATGGAGCATGTTACATGTAGTGAGGATTGTGAAATAATTGGAGAAGAAAGGTTGTCACCGAGCCGAAACTTTGTATATATTGTGGGATGCTAGACAGTGTAGTCGAAAATAACAAATATTTACAAATATAATATAAATATTTAAAAATAAAAAAAGCTCACTTTTGCAGCAGGTTTCACACAGATAAGCCTCTTTTACCTCTGAACAACTGATGCATCTTGGATTTCGCATCCCTCCATATCGTGCCCAAGGCCACCCGCTCCTTTGTCCAGAGATAGTCACGACAGTGGTCAAGATCAACGCAATCAACCAAGTAACATGCATGATGATAATACTATAATACTATACTATAGCTCAAGAGTACGTGAAACAATTAGACTGTTGAACACGGAGTTTATCGTTTGTTTTATACACAGATACCTGATCACAGATGTTGTTTTGTTCATTATGTTTTTGGGGGTGTTCTTCCAACTAATAATATGCACCAGTTGTGTTAGGAAATAAAATCAGTAACTTTTATTTGGTCGTTAATTTTAGATCTAAAGGTTTTAGCAATCAACTTCTTGTCGACATGTTGATTT